CCTTTTCCCATATTATAATGCCAAATTATTCCAATTTTTAGTGTATTTTATTATAACGAGGGACTAATAAATACTACTAAGATATCAATTAATAAAATATGGTAATAAACTCATTTTATCATTTTGAACATTGAAACATAAATTTATTTAAAACAGTTTGAGTTTACAAATCATTATAATAGACTGAATAATTTTTTTTGAAATCAGTGCAATACCTTCATGGATTTTTAATTATTTTAGCCTAGTTTGTTGTTTTTTGAAAGACTGAATTTAAACTTTTTTCCCATGTTATTTATTGATACTTAAGAGGGACATTCATACGGAACAGGAGCATAAGTGTTGGACTCAGACTGGGTGTGAAGTCTGATTTTTCATCTCTCTTCGTGACTTAACCAGTATGATTCTCCACTTCCTTGTTGATAAAATGGGAATGATGATAACCATTACAATGGCTAATATTTCTCAATCACTTATCACTGACTGGCCACTCTTCTGATTGGCTCACATATACTAACTCACTTAGTCCTCAGAACAGCTCTGTGAGGTTGGTACTGTTATATATCCTCATTTTACAGCTGAGCAAACTGCCAGGTTAAGGTACTTGCCTGAGGACACACAGCTGCTCAGTCTTAATACCTGAGTTGCTAACCACCATGTTCTGTTGCTTCTCTGACGGGGATCTGAGGAAGATTACACGAGAAATCAAATATGTGATGCTCATTGCTCTCCTTGGCAAAACAGGAGTTTGACCAAGCATAGCGCTAGCTGCCACAGTAGGAGCACATAGCAGCAGGATAGCATTCAATTGCTTGCTTGTGAGTTAATGTAATGGCTGTGGCTCTCCTGGTTCTATCTCCATATTTACATAGATTTCTTGTAACTTTAAGCAAATAATTCAGATGTTTTCAAATATTTAGATAACCATTTATTCAGAAAGAGAATATTTAGATATTGTTTTTAATTCCAGTCAGCTCTCTTGATATCAAATTGTTGCAGGCTATAATTCTGAGAATGAGCATTCCATCCTGTGCTGCATAACTATGTTTCCATCAATGACAAACCACATACTAGTATACTATGGTGGCTCTGCAAGATTATAATGGAGCTGAAATTTTTCTGTTACATATTGATGTCATAGCCATCATGATGTCATAACACAATGCATTACTCATGTGTTTGTAGTGATGCTGGTATAAACAAACCTACTGCACTGCCAGTTGTATGAAAGTATAGCATATACAATTATGTACGGGACATAATATTTAAGAATGAAAATAAACAATTATGTTATTGGTTTATGTATGTACTGTAGTGTCCTTTTATTCATTATTTTAGAATGCTCTCTTTCTACTTACATAAAAAATTTCTGCCGTAAAACAGCATGTCCAGTTATGCTGAAAGCAGCCTCATACATCTCATGTATACTGTGTCTGCTAATGCATCGTCTTCTCTTGTTATAGATTTAATCTCATGTTGTGGTTCATGACCCCTAAATGTACAAAATCCACTTTTAATGTTGCCAGTAAGAGGCCACATTGAGTGATTGGCCTGGAAATAAAATTTAAAGTGGTGGTTTTGCTCGCCAGTCAGGCACGTCCCATTCCACCACAGCTAGGATCTTGAAGAATAAGAACAAAGTGACAGAAGCTGTTAAAGGATCAGCTTCTTTGAAGGCAATGGACTAACAAAAATTTAAGAACCATATGATTTCACTACTATGTGGGATATAAAGCTGAAAGCAACAAATAAACAAAACAATCAAAATCTTATAGATATAGATAATAGCATGGGGGTTACCAGAGAGAAAGGGGGGTGGGGTAGTAAAGGGAAAAAGGGGTCCAAATATATAGTGACATAGGAATTTGACTTTGGGCGGTAAACACACATTACGATACACAGGTGATGTATTATAGAATTGTACACTTGAAACTTATATAATTTTATTAACCAATGTTAGCCCAATAAATTTAAAAAAAAATGAAAAAGGCTTATATCCAACATAGAGAAAGTTTTAATGACCTGGATTGAGGACCAGACACAGAAGCATGTCCCTCTCAGCATCATGACAATCACAGCCAAAGCAAAAAAGTTTATGTTGACAGAAAGACTGCATGACTACAATGTTGAATTTACTGCCAGTTCTGGGTGGTTGAAATGTTCCAAGAATCCTTATTCATTACACAATGTGAAACTGAGTAGTGAGTCTGCAAATTATTGATGTGAAGGCAGCTAAATAACTTTTGAAAACTATAGATAAGCTAATTGTAGAGGAAAATTACTTGCCAGAGCAAATATTCCATATGAATGAAACCTTATTCTGGAAGATGACTCAAAGGACCTTCATCACAAGAGGCCATTCGATACCAGGTTTCAAGGTTTTAAGGACAGGATAACGGTCTTGCTTGGGGGCAGTGTTGCAGGCTACAAATTGAAACCCTTTGTGATCTGGCACAGTGAGAACACCAGAGCCTTCAAGCTTATCTGTACGCACAAGCAGCCATTGCACTACAGGAGCGATAAGAAGTCATAGATGACCCAATTTCTCTTTCAAGATGCTCTCCTAAATTGCTGTGCCAATGAAATGGAGAAGTACAGTTTGGAGAATAGTATGCCTTTCAAAACTTTGTTGTTGATAATGCTCCTGGACATCCTCCTTTTATTGCTGATCTTCATCCCAACATCAAAGTGATGTTTCTCCCTCCAAACACTACCTATTTGATCTAACCAATGAATCAAGCAAGTACAGCATCTTTTAAGACCGAAGACCTGAGGAGGACCTTTGCCCAGGTTTTGCTGCAACTGAAGAAGATACCGATGTAATTCTGGAAGGATTACAACATCTATGACGGCATCAAGAACCTTGCCTAGGCGTGAGGTGGTCACCAGGCGGTGTACACATGGTATTTGGAAAGAAGAGACTCAGGAGTTTTATCCATGACTTCAAATGATTTGTCAAGGATGAGGAGGTTGTAAAAATGAACAGAGCTCTACTTGGGATGGCAAACAACTTTAACCTGGGTGTGGATGAGGACGACATTGAGGTGCTCCTAAAGGTGGCTGCTGAGGAATTGACTAAGGAGGAGTTGTTGGAACTGAACAGGAGCACATAGTTGAATAAGAGGCAAGAGGAAAAGAAATTGCAGGGGAAAAGAAGAACCCCAAGAAAATTCACAGTGAAGGGCTTAACAGAAGCTTTGGCAGACTTTGACAAACTCCTTAAAAAGTTTGAAAACATGGATACCAGCACCAAAAGGTTTCCATTAATAGAGAGGAATGTTCATTGTGCATTATCTGCTTACAAGCAAATCTATGATGAAACAAATAATTCAAACAAACCACCATGGACATATTTCTGAAAAGAGTGATACCCCCTCAGGCAGAGCCTCAGCAGGTCCTCCAGGAGGAGCTCCAGGAGAAGGCACTGCCATCACAGGGCAGGGCAGCTCCAGGAGTGTTACTGCCCCTGATCACCCTCCAGTGGGGCAAGATGTGCAGGTGGTAGACAATGATAGTGATAATCCTGATGCTGGCTAGGCCTAGGCTAATGTGTGTGCTTGCATCTTTGTTTTAACAAAAACATTTAAAAAGTAAAAAAAAAAAAATCAATAGAGAAAAGTTTCTAGAATAAGTATATAAAGAAAAATTGTTTGTGCACAGCTCTGTACAACGAGTTTGTGTTTTAAGCTGTGTTATTATAAAGTAGTTGAAACATCCTATATAATAAAAGCCTAATATGCAAATCACCCAACTGGTGGAACAACTGGTCGCTATGATGCGCAATGATCACCAGAGGGCAAATGCTTAACGTGGGTGCTGCCCACAGGCCCCAGGCCAGCCAAGGCGGGTGCCAGTCGGGGAGCCCCGCCCCGATCACCCCACCAGTCACCCCACAGATTGGCCCTAATCACCAGCCAGGCCTGGGGATCCTACCTGTGCACCAGGCCTCTAGTTTAAAAATATAAAAGTTGTATAAAGTAAAAAAGTATAATAGGCTAAGTTTAGTTTATTATTGAAGAAGGAAAATTATCTTGTTATACATTTAGTGTAGCCTAAGTGTACAGTGTTTATAAAGTTTACAACAGTGTACAGTAATGTCCTAGGCCTTCACATTCACTCACCACTCACTCACCCAGAGCCACTGCCAGCCCTGTAAGCTCCATTCATGATAAGTGCCCTACAGAGGTGTTCCACTTATCTTTTATACCATAATTGTATTGTACCTTTTCTGTGTTTAAATACATGAATACTTACCATTGTGTTACAATTGCCTACAGTATTCAGTACAGTAACATGCTGTGCAGGTGTGTAGCTTAGGAACGATAGGCTATACCATATGGCCTAGGTGTATAGTAAGCTATACTCTCCAGGTTTGTGTAAGTAAACTCTAAGTTATTCACACAATAACAAAATCACTTAAAGATGCATTTCTTATAATGCATTGCTAGTGTTAAGGAATGAATAACTACAAATAGCATTTCTCATGATGTTTTGAAATTTATTTTATTTTTTAATTACAGTTTACATTCAACACTATTTGTATTGGTTTCAGATATACAGTCAAGTGGTTAGACAATCATATAATTTACATGGTGTTCCCCCTGATATTTCAACTACCCATTTGGCACTGTGCATAATTATTACAATATTGTTGACTATATTCCCTAGGCTATTGGTTTTATATTCCATTAACTCTTTGTAGCATTGACGTTCCTTTCTGTTTTCTTTGCAAATATGTTCCTGCTGATCCTGCCTGGTCCCAGGAACTGAGGTTGCAGATAAGTCATGCTACAGGAAGAACGAAGGTGTGTCAAAGTATGGGTACTGCCGCAAAGTGAACAACACACGTATTCCCTGTAAAGCAAAGTAAGTGGCTTTCAAACAATACTTTGAACCTTTTTGCTTCACAGACTAGAGAAATTGTTTACTTACAGCTACACGTTCTGATTTATTCCATTTCAAGGAAAAGTCAATTTGGATATCATTCATTTGACCGATAGTCATTGAGTGACTATTATGTGCCGTGTTTCTAGCTAGGCACTGAGTTAACAAGAGAAATAAGAATTAATGGCTTTTTTCAAGTCCGTCCTGGTGGGTGTTTTAGATGATATCAGGTACAATCACTTTTAAAGAGAATGAATGTTTGAGATGGGACAAGCAAGGTAAATAAATGGTCCTGGTTGGAAATATGTCCATTGATATTCCAGGATATTTTAGGTACTTTCCCATCTGATATCTTTCATTATGATTCTAGGGGCACAAATATTTACCTACCTAGAGAAATAATTAATAAATGCTTGTACAGTTTTATGTAAACTTGCCATGGAATTATATCAAGAAACAAAAGGCAGCAAGAGAAAAAATTGACAATTCACCTGAAGAATGTTTTAATCTTATATTGATATTATAGAAAAAGTATAGAATATTATATGCAATAAACTTGGTATTTTTCTCTAAGATTTTTTGATTGTGCAATTTTAAGATGACATTAAAAACTCAAATTATAATAGACTAGAGGCCCAGTGCACAAAAATTGTGCACTGGGGGGGGGGGCGTCCCTCAGCCTGGAGCCCTTGGGGGATGTCTGACTCATGGCTTAAGCCCGCTCCCTGTGGGGGGGTGGGGGGGGAGTAGCCACTGTCAGCCATCCTTAGTGCTGCCACCAGGGGGCAGCTCCTGCATTGAGCATCTGCCCCCTGGTGGTCAGTACACTCACAAGGACTGGTCATTCCACTGTTTGGTCAATTTGCATATTACCCTTTTATTATATAGGATTAAAATCCTAGTACCTACTCCAAATTTTTCAGTAAGTAATATGCAACAAGAGGTTAAACAAGATAAGCATTTCTCAAAGTTTTTCTATTAAATACTATTTTTTCTAGATGATAGATATTGCCAAGCAAACTATATTTTGTGTTGTTGTTTTTTTAAAAAATTTTTCTAAGCAAAATGTATTTTAGACATAGGATAATCTCTTGGGGAGTTTGGGCCTAAATGATGGACTATCATATTCTGTGCTTTCTCCTTTATAGGATATCAGGGCAGATTCAAATGGGGAAATATGTAAAAGGAAATATTTTGGGGAAAAGAGTAATATGTAGTATGAGTGGTAATGAGTGGGGAAAGAGAGCAGGGTAGTTGTGTTTTTCATCAACAAAATGTGCATATCCCATTTTCTTATATCATCATTGTGATTACAACTAGAGGCACAAGCATTTCATTCTACTCACAGGCTGCCTTTCTAGTCACATTTTAATAGGAACTGGTTGTCATGAGAGTAAGCCTGTAATTCCCTGTATCCTAGAATCTTCATTATAAGCCTTCTCTTAAGTGATTCAAGAAAAACAAATTTGAAGAGGATGCATGTCTTTCTCTACTGCTCACTCATATTTTTCTACAACCACCAAAGACATCAGAAGGATCCAATTCTATCTGCTCTCAGAATACTTTTTCACAGCCCTCCTCTGAATTCTGCATAAAGCAATGGTCTGCACTTTTATTGGCGTTGACTTTACTCTCTTCAGTGATAAACGCATGGTTTTCTTGAGTGCTGAGCAGTGTCATCTACCTTTGCAGGGAGATAGTTCTTTCAGTAACCCCACATGAGGATCAACTAAGGCTAAGATTTATATTGACACAACCATAGTGGAATAATTCTACTGCAATTCATGAAAATAAACAAGAAAAGTTAACTGAAACAAGATAGAAATTGACTTCCTAGGTACCCTCCATTATATTAGAAATCCATTATCCTTATATTGTCTAGCTCTATCATATATGTGACCTCCATTCCAAGCATTTCCATTGGTCTGTGTTGGCTTCTTCAGAGCCAGCCATCACTTTCCAATAAGCAAAAAAGACAAACAAACAAACAAGAACAAAAAAGTAAGGCCACCTTCAAGAATTTTTACTTAAGATTCTTCTTCTTTCCCGTTGTCCAAAACTAGTAGCATGGGAATCTGAGAAATGTGTTTTTGTTGTTGTTACAGCAACAATATGCCTTTCCATATTCAATGGTGCTATTACTGAGGAATAAGAAAAATGTTGATATAAAGGAGAACTAGGAGTCTCTGCTATAGGGAGAAATACCTTTAGTTCAATCTGGATAGTTGGGGAGCTATCAACTGCAATTTGGTCCTGGTAATTTAACTGCAGCCCTTTTTTTACTTTTCCTTAGTGATGCCATATGTGGGAAGTTGTTCTGTCAAGGTGGGTCAGATAATTTGCCCTGGAAAGGACGTATAATAACTTTCCTGACATGTAAAACATTTGATCCCGAAGACAGCAGTGAAGAAATAGGCATGGTAGCCAATGGAACTAAGTGTGGAAATAAGAAGGTAGGTTGAAATCGTGGCTTTTATTCAAATTTTTTTTAGTTTTAGTTTATTGTTTAGTTTTTCAAGGCATCCTTGTGTTTCATAGGAGCAGTTTTCAAAGCAATGCTTATGTCATTCATTTAGGCCTACCTGCATGCATTCCTTCAATATTATTTAATCAGTACCTATTATGTGCTTAGCACTAGGTTGTTAAACTTAGGTAAGTTTTATTGCCCCTAAATTGGTAGGTTTTCAATGAATGATAGTCTCACTGATAATAATAGATCAAAATATTATTTATTTTTATATAAATGATAATTGTTAATATTGTAGAAGATGTGATATTAACATGTTTTCCGTAATATTTTTTGTTGGAATGGGTACCTTGTATCATGTGCTATGCTCAGCTCTATGCTAAATATCAGTCTTAAGAGAGGAAGTGGAGTAAGGAGATGACCCCTGAGGAATGAAGTGAAGTAAGAAAATCTTTAAAGAGGACTCTCTAAATATTTTATTTTATATATTTATCTATATCTATATCTATATCTATATCTATATCTATATCTATATCATATCTATATCTCTATCTATATCTAATCTATATCATCTATATTTATCTATTTATCTCTATCTTTATCTCTATCTATATCATCTATATCTTTACAACTTTATTGTTGAAAGTGTTACATATGTCCCCATTTTCCCCCCATTGACTGTGTCCATGGGTTATGTATATATGCATACAAGTTCTTAGTTGATCTCTTTCCACCCACCCACTCTGCCTACCCTCTAAGATTACGTAGATCCCATCTTCCTATTTTCAAAAGAATGCTGTGATTTCCCAAATGAAAAGGTAAGTTTAATAATGGTATTAGTGGCTAATAATATAAGACCAAATTCCAAACAATTTGAAGAACTGATACTATTGGACATTAGTGTCAACTTCTTGTTTTTCACATCATTTTCAGGTTTGCCTTAATGCAGAATGTGTAGATATCGAGAGGGCCTACAAATCGACCAATTGCTCATCTAAGTGCAAAGGACATGCTGTAAGTTTTGAAAATGTTTGCCCAATCTTGCTGAATCTTATGTAATTTTTAGGTCAGTTTTGATTATATAAAAAAATGTGTCAGTAACTGAAAATAGAAGGATCTCTTACCCTTTGAGACAACATGGAGGGACCTGGAGATTATTATGCTAAGCTGAATAAGCCAGTCAGAGAAAGACAAGTATCCCATGATCTCACTTATATGTAGAGTCTAATGAATAAAATAAACTGACAAACAAAATAGATCCAGAAACATGGAAGCATGCAACAGTCTAGCACCAGAGGGAAGGGATAAGGCAGGAAGAGACTAACCAAAGAACTTATATGCATAACCCATGGACATAGACAATAGTGTGGTGAAGGCCTGGGGAGGGCACAGAGCAGATAGAAAGAGGGCGGGGGAGGGGGGGTATATGTAATACTATAGCAATAAAGATAATTGTTTTCAAAAATCCACCAACCAAAAAATAAAGCTTATGTTTGTCTAACCCAGTGGTCGGCAAACTCATTAGTCAACAAAGCCAAATATCAACAGTACGACGACTGAAATTTCTTTTGAGAGCCAAATTTTTTAAACTTAAACTATATAGGTAGGTACATTGTTATTAACTTAATTAGGGTACTCCTAAGCTAGCCTTTGCTAAAAACATCCTGAATGTAATTGAGGTACATTTGTTGAGGTCGACCCCTTCCAACTCTCCCATCCGCACTCATCTTGTATACTTGTTTCGTCTATCTCCTTTTCGGAAACCGACTTCTTCCCATGGGCCACGAAGTTTCAATCACACTGTACGTGTGCGCCACATGTGGTATTTTGTGGAATAGCCACACTCAAAAGGCCAAAGAGCTGCATGTGGCTCACGAGCCGCGGTTTGCCAACCACTGGTCTAACCCATCACTAGGGTGTTTCAATGAAAAATTTCTTTCAAGAACCTGGTCTATATGAAATTCCTATTATTGATTTGTAGTTTCTGTAGATAGCTGAAAGATGCAGAATTGGGGTTACTCCATTTTTATAATGGACTTAATGGTGGATGGGTAGGCCCTTGGGTCAGTGGACAGTCTAGCATGGAAACTGACAAGATCATTGATCCCGCAGGTGTGTGACCATGAGCTCCAGTGTCAGTGTAAAGAGGGCTGGGTCCCTCCTGACTGTGATGGCTCCTCTGTCGTCTTCCGTAGGTAACATTCCACATCTAACCTGAGAAATTGCTCTTTTCCAAGCTTTTCTTTCAGATTACAAAAGATTTCATTGCCTCTTTTCTCTCCTCTTAAAATTCCTGTCCTGTAAATAATGAATCCACAATGTTAACCTTCAAAGTTTCTTTAACAGGTTTTTAATCCAATTTTCCACATCCCTATGCATTTACTCTACATACAAAAAAGATTTCTTCAAGTTTATATTTGTAATCTCACTTTAACTTCCCAAATTCTCTTTTCTGATTGTTCCATTTTCATACCATCCTTGACTTAAAGTATAGATATAACATCCTCATAAAACTCTCTAAGGATATGACAGATTGTTTTTGTAGATTTAATTCTATGAGCTGAATTATCTCTATTTCTTTTTGAAGAAAAGAAATTGCTTCTAATACTTCTAATTGCTTCTAATACATCATTGTTTCTAATACTTCTCCATAGTACTGTGCAATAAGAAAACGTATTTTTATTGATTTCAGAGAGTAAGGGAGAGAGAAATAGAAACATCAATGATGAGAGAGAATCATTGCTCCACTGCCTCCTGCATGGCCCCTACTGGGATTGAGCCCACAACCCAGGCATGTGCCCTGACTAGTAATCGAACCCTGACCTCCTATTTCATAGTTTGATGCTCAACCACTGAGCAACACTGGCCAGGCTATCTCTATTTCTTTTGAGTTTGACTGTTCTGTTTTTTCACCCTGTCTCTTGTATTTCATTGTGTTATTTTAGTTCAGGGTATGTGATCTTTTATTACATGTGGGATTAGGTCAACTTGAATTAGCTCACATGGATTTTCTTTGCATGAGTGTGTGTGTGTGTTTGCTGTATCTATTCATAACCTCTCCTGATGGGAGATCTGGCTGTGAGCTCTATCAGTGTGGGAAGCAGCCAAAGTGGGGATCCTCATCACTAGTCGCCGTAGTGAAGAGTACTTGGCCTTGAGGAGAGGGGTCTTTATTTCATTTACTTCCTGAGAGATTTTATTTTTCTTGGCACTCAATTTCTCCTTGACTATTCCTTCTCTCTAGATCTGTGCTGCTTCTCAGGCTCTTATGTCCCCCATTGTTTCTAGAGAGTTCTCTAGAAGGGCTTTGTCTTGAGGCATGAGGCATGCTTGTTCTGTATACACAAGGGATGGGGATGGGCCTGAATGAATCGTCTGTCCTAAGTTCAGATCCTCTGTTGACTTCCCAAGAAAAAAATAGCATCTATTTCTGATGTTTGGACTAATTATGTTTTTAATTTGTTGATTCTTTGTTAGACTTCCCAAGAAGGAATAGCATCTACTTCTGGTGTTTGGAGCTTTAATCTACTCTGTTTCTGTCCACATAAATCCTTTACTTCCTATATTTTTATAATTATTTTCATTTTTATGGAGGGTGGAAAGTTTCAGATATTTGAAGTGAAATTGTCATCTCACCTTGAATTCTACTACTGTTGTCTTTGTCTATGTGTGTTTACACTTGTGACCTTTTCTTATATTAAAAAATAATCTCATTGACCTGCTAATCTGTGCAATAAGAGAGTAATACCTGTTTGATTTTCTCTTCAAAGCTGTACCTCCTGGTATCTGTGGTTTCTGATTATTATAAGAAAAATGAATATTTCAAATAGCAAAAGATTGGAGTCACAGTGATTACTTAGATAAGTAGGTAAAAGGCACTAAATAGAACCAAGAATTTTATTTAAACCATTTCCCAATTTACAGGGTCACATCATTTCTTTTATGTTCATAATTTTTGCAATATAGGGCAAAAATCAGTAGAATATTTAGTTGTGTCTCTATCAATTGTCATACATCTCAGCTCCTTATTTGCTACTGACAGAAATATGATTTTAAGGCTTCAGTTTCTATTTCCCTGTTTTATTTCAACCTTGAGTTTGAGAAATATTCCACTCCTTTTCTGCCATCTCCCTTACTTTATATTCTCTCTAATTTTCCAGTCATTTTCCCCCAATTATTATAAACATCATTGCTTCTAATACTTCTTCATAGTACTTGCTTTAACTATCTCATACAAAATGTTTCATATAGATTTCCCCTTATTTATTCTATCTAAATAAAATCTTACTAATCACGATCAAAATAATCTTCATTTTACTGGCTATGAGAGATTGGCCAGAGAATGCATTTTCTCTAGGAAAGGGTAGATGGAATTTATGCTAAATGGTGAATAAGGACTATTGTGATATATACGTATGAATACCCAGATCCTCACTAGGCCTGGGTTCTCTTTGTTGTAGACGTCTCCATTGTGGTTGGGGTGCTGTTCCCTGTGGCTGTCATATTTGTGGTGTGTGCTATAGTATTCAGGCATCAAAGCACCAGAGGAAAGCAAAAGAAAGTCCAGAGGTAGGTTTTTATCGGGGGACTTTTGGGCCTCTAATGAACTTTAAATTCAAAGATGTGACCCAAATTCTCAAATTTAAATTTGGTTTACTTCAAATACTTAGAAAGAAGTATAGGCCTGGCTGGTGTTGCTCAGTGGTTGAAGTTTGACCCAGGAACCAAGAGGGCTCCATCCCCAGTAGGGGGCGTGCAGGAGGGAACTAATCAATGAAGTTTCTCTCTCATCCACGTTTCTATCTCTCTATTCCCCTCCCTTCCTCTGTCTCTAAAAAAATTAATAAAAACATGTATTAAGAAAAAAATAAGTGCAGATACATTTTGCTTGGATCAGAGGCTGAGTATTCCTTTTACTGAGAAAACTTTCACAGTAAGGCATGTCTTTTTCTCCTGTAATTACTGTATATATATTTAATAATAAGATTAATAACTCTTTATTAAAGATTTTGTGCTCATTATAATAATACAATATATAATCTTTATTGATTATTATCTTTATGATAAACACTGTTAGTAAGTCCTTTTACGTACATTATCTCATTTAATCCTCTTAAGAATATCATGAGGGTAGTAACTATTATTTCTATTCTATAGATTAAAAGATGTTATATATCAATTTTACAACAATCATGCAAGGCCAGGCACTTCACATTTTACTGATATGGAAAGAGAAGCTCAGAGAGGTCAATAAACATGTTCAAAGTTGTACAAAGTAAGTGATGGAGTCTTGATATGCACCAAGATCAGTCAGTCTTTTGAAAATGGTCTTGGCACTACAGCATCTTTCTTGCATTTTTTTAAAAAAACTAACTATTTATCCAAAATGGGCTATTAATAAATAGTGAAGGAATAAAACAAATCATTAATTAGATGGCGTAATTTAGATAAAAGTTGGATTCCACACCATCATTATTAGGACTCAGGGCTCTGCAAGAGAATCAAAAAGAAAATCAGTGGTGTTAATGATGAATTACAGAACACAGAAACCTGAAGAACATCCTAGGGAGCAGGTGAAAACCTAGTCATTCACTAATTATGGCACAATGGGCAAAGGAAATTGGCAGATTTATCTTGAGTTTCCCCCAAATGGTGAACACACTGCTTGGTCAATTTGTATGATATCCTTTCACCTACAGGTCACAGTCTGACCCTGGCACCAGGCCATGCAGACAGAAGAGGAAACCACAGACAATGAAGGCTCTTCATTGCAAAGAGGTGAATCATAGTCTGTACTATATTTGCTGTGGACCCCAGTTTGTGATTTTCTCCCTCTCTTGTGCTGACCATCTACCCATCATTTCTACTCATCAGTGTTTTATAAATGTATGACGCTTCTGAGTACGCAGCAATGATTGTGGGCTCTGTAACTACACATTCAGAAAGTTGTCCTCTGCTTTTGGTTAAATGTAGAAGTCTCCTTAAAATGCGGAAACTCACTGGCTGCTTTGCTGGGATTCACAAAATGCAAACACAATAAGAGAACAAGGAGGGCAGATGTCAGATGTCAGATTTCTCTCTCTCTCTCTCACTCTCTCTCTCTCTCTCTCAATTTCTTATTCCTTTAAAAATATCCCAGTAAAGAAAATAATATGTGTATTTGTATGACAATACATGTAATATGTATAAGTCCTAATGCCTTGGTTGTGTCCGGCAAGTTTAGAAATTTTAGCAGAAGTTGGCTAGTGATAATGACATTGGTAATAATGTTTTTGATGGAGACTGACCAATCTCTGATAGCTCTGGACATAGCAGAATGCAGCAGCTGGGCCACTGTGATTTTTCCATCTGGTCTTTTGGTGTCATCATAGTCTTGGTCTCCGATGCTTTGAAAGGATTGCTTATTTGGAGCATGAACATAGGAAATTGATAAAATTCATTTAAAAAATATTTTTTCTTTTTAGAAAAGTCAGATGAAGCTTCATGCCCTTGACCTGCCAGTGGATGGCAGTGAGCCTCCAGCTTCTTTTGTGAGTTAGCAACTTCTCTTAAATCACTTCCAGCCTAACCTTGAGGAAATAGTAGTGAAAGTCACAACCCACAATGCCCAATTACTTCTTTAGAAGGATGTTAGAATCTGTGTGAATGTAATATAAAGTATAGATTCTTCTACACAACATTTTGAAAATGTCAAATTTGAGAATGTGCACCTGTCCATTATACTCCTAAATTTAACCCTTAAACTAGAATTACCAGGTCTATAAAGCTGATAACTCATTACAGGAAGAGTGCCAATCTGCTTCATACAATGGCATCCCAATCATATGTCTATTGGCATTGGACTTATTTCTCATTTGGATGCGTACACCAAAATGAAAACAATTGAACTTACAGGTTTAGAATATTCTCATGGGTAAAGTCATAAATTCTCTGAAAATTATTTCTGAAAATAATTTAATCCTTTCCATTAAGTGCATTTGTTTTTAAGGCCCAACCTTTGATTTTTTTTTTTTTACCTCTTACTAGCTAATCACAAAGCCAGATTTTCCACCACCTCCGATTCCTACTTCTGTGTCATCTTCTTCCTTCCTTGTACTAGTAAGTATCAGATGATCCCCGATGATCTTTAAAATGTCTTTTGTGCCAATGTGAATAATATCTCTAAATCTATGGGTTCTTTATCAAGATATGTGCTCCCTAGGCTAATCTGAGATAGCATAGCAAGTTCTATTTACTATCTATAAATTATTATGGGTATTAATTTATTATTATTAAAAACAGCTCTTTTATATAATTGTTAAGAAATGATCAATAGTTCTGCTGTAGAAGGCTGTCTCCCTCAAAGGACGGTGTCTAGATGTTGATTTTGGAGGATGTAAAATTTAATAAGTTATATTTACTTTTTTATTTATTGTAGGTAGAATAGAGCCTATATTAGTCATAGTTTCTGTAGGAGGTAGGGCATGAAAAATAGCCCACATATAGGCAAACATGGAATCAAAGTCAGGCACTCATGAAGTAAAGGGTAGAATTCATTCACTCAAATAGTTACTGAGCATATTTCCACATACTTGATGCTCTGTTGTGGGTAAATGAAAAAACTAAAACTTAAGGTATTTTTTTGAAGAACTTTTACAATTTTAGTAGGAAAACAAGTCAAATATATATGAAGCACTTATTTGCTTATATATTATTTATGTCAAAGCTGGTGATTGGATGAGAAGAATATGGTGAAGAGGAAATGAATGGGGTCAGGGTGGTTAAAACAGAAATTTGAGAGTTAGGTAGAATTTAAATGAGTGCTGACAAGGTCAGGAATGATTTTTAAAAAAGTATAGCTAAGATGGGAAGTGCATAGCATTTCTAAAGTCTTACCATTATTTTTGTCCATAATATAGCATGAAGAAACAAAGGTCCTTTCCTCTACTGTTTTCAAGGATAAGCCAATGTCTATGCCTAAGGTATGAGATCCATAGCTAAACTATTATAACCATGTAGCACTCCTGGTATCAAGGAAAGAATAACCATATTTCCCTAGAAGATGTTCACTAAGAATAATATCTGTATGATTAATGGATGGGTGCTAGCATATGTCTTCCTTCTGAGTCTGCCCAATAACCAAGAGGAAAAAGATGGATGTGTCTTAGCTATGAAGTGATGATGATCTCAATATTATTCATTCTCTCAGAAATACTCCACAGAAATATTGAGATTGTGGAAGTATCCCATAGAATAATAATCACCTAGTGTCTCAAAACTTTTCTCCTGATTCCCCCCACCATCTCCATATTATGCTAATTAGCTAGATAGATATTTGCATCCCAGTGTGGTATTTTTCTTACCTTCTTTCCTTACACTCCCATGTTTCCACTCCTTTCCTGTGATGTATGAAATAATCCATAAAATAGGAAGTACTACAGATAATTAATTTTAATTTCTTAATATTTCAAAATTATGAGATATATACATTTTTTTTGGAAAAAGTTGATCATTTAAGTGTATTGTCTTTTTTAGGGCTCCAATCCAAATGTCTGAAGCGACAGCTAAGCAAGGATTGGTGGGTAAATGATCAACTTGAATGATGGGACAATCTGGATAGAAGAGAAATATATGGGCTATCTCACTACTATTTGCTCTTGATACCCAAAGAGGTTAACATTTCTTGATTCATGTTATACTTTGAAGAGATGAAATAAAATGTTTAAGAGAGATGTACTTTTGAGAATCTTTGAATTTAAAATTTATATTCTACATAGGGAAGGAAGATGACTCTACAGATACAGCTATGAAGCTGAAATTTCTAATTAGGTTTGGTAGGAATTAATTCACCCTGTAATGAAAACAAATAAACAAGTAATCAAAGAAAACTGGGAAGGATGGGAGAAAATAGTACATTTATCATTAGAAGACTAACAACAACTCAATTGTTTTAACTATTAACCTGTCAAATTAGAACCCTTTGTTAAAAAGAAAAAGTATATAACCATTTTCTGATTTATATAATATCTTTCCTACATTATCGTCTATAATCCATATTAGTTGTGTAATTTGAGGTTTACTACAATTGAATAAACTTTACTAATAAAAATATTTTTCATAGAAATTTGTATAATTTAGTTACTGGCGAGGTTAAAGTGAGCTTCACTTTCTAAGTAAAGAACTTTCAGTTAAATAAAAAAAAAATTAGAGATTGTAAACTGGTAGCCTTCCAGACATGTATGAATTGCAGATTTATTCGTATTGGACCTGAATAATTTGGGTCACAAAGTATTTTTAAGTGTTTTTGAATTTATTGCCAATATTTAAAAGTTGGGACATCTTGTATAAACATCCAGATTTCCAGCTTATTAAAATTAATCAAATGTTCTGTCAACACTAATCACAGGCTCATAGCAACCATCTGCTTAGTTGGCTGCTGATGAGCAAACATCGCTGGTTGCCTGCCAAATAGCCCTCTTCTTTCTTGTTTCCATTACGCCAATTTGTTCAGTTGTCCATGTTTTAAAAGAATAACTCTCACTCTAATGGGTAAATCTCTACTACTCTAAGTCAACATAAGAATCTAATCTCCCTTACTGGTGGTTGATTTGGAGGTGAGTGTAGGTCCCCCTGTTTTAGCCAATGAGACAAGAAAGGAGACATGCTGGGGAATTTATGGGAAAGATCTCCTTGTTCCTTCTTCTGGATGTTGGCATCTGGATATGCTGTCTGGTAGTGTCGCAGCCATGTTGCAACTATGAGGGCAAGACTGATATACAGAACAAGGTAGAGCAGAAAGATGAAAAGAATAAATCCTGGTCTTTTAATGATGTTATTGAACTGGTCGATTAGTAACTGCTGGAGTCACCCCATACTTCGTTGGGACTTCCTATTGATATGATCAATAAAATTTCTTACTGTTTAAGCAATTTCAAGTTGAATTTTCTCTTACTTGTAACAGAAGTCATCTCAACTAATAAAATAGCTGCTCCATTATTAAGGCCCATACTTTCCACTTCATCAATACTGCTGTACATTTTTTATACTTGGCCTCCTTTACCCATTTGCAGCACAGATCTGGCCTTATTGGCCTTCCTTTCCAGGATGGACTTTGCCCATATGATGTTCATTTGCCCTTGCAGTGTGAATTTCTAGATAAATTCATTCTGGCCTCAAAAGCGAAGCTCAATCCCCAGTAATTCCAGAGTCTATCTGTCAGATCATTGTCATTGTAGCAGCCTTTCTTTCCATGTGGGAGTTTACTCAAGAACACGTTAAACATATTGCTTTATCTGCAGTGTGAGGTTTCAGAAGACCCTGCCCTAACCCAGAAATAAATTCCTATTTGCAGCAAGGCCATAATCTTACGTGTGATTAATCTATTAATCTTCGCTGGTTTTTGTTGTTGTTATTTGATTTGTTTTCATTCCTGTCCCTGTCTCATTCTTTTAAGATTGACAAAATGGGAATCTTGAACCTATGACTTTTCAACCAGCCACCTTCATAACCTGAGCTAGAAATAAAACATATTCCTGTAGATTCTGAAATGATGGCACTAGGTCCTTGATGTTTATGGAGATGGAAGACAGGAGGACGACAGAAAAAAGCATTCTCTTTTCCTAAGGCTTTGAAGCCTTACAAAGTTTCCTGGTGGGCTGAACTATAGCCCAATTTAGACAATTTAAAGCAAAGACTTTGATTTCACAGTCCTGTTTCCAAGCTAGATCTACAACATACTAACTTTAAGGGAATTGTACTAATATGACATTTAACCACCTCACGTAGGCCACCAAACCTTTTTTATAATTAGGCTTTATTACTTTCTCTACTTTTTAAAAATTGTAACAGGTTAACCTGTGGTCTTTTCCAGGTACTCTAGAACTGGTATACCATGGGGTATCTCTAAATACTCCTTAGCACTTCAGTCAGTTACTGCCTCTTATGACTTTGGGGATGTTTTAACTTTGTATGAAATCATGAAGTATGCATGAAAAGGAAAGCAAGCTTTAGTTGCGATCAGGATGGAGCTATGCTATTGTTTAAGCTGGTAATAATGACACCTATGTGGTAAAGAATTGAGGGTGACCTCTGGCTAACAGCCAGTGAGAAAGTGAACACTTTAGTCCAACAACCCTCAAGGAGCTAATTCTGCCAACATCCATCGAATGAGCTTGGAAACAGCTCTCATACTCGTTGGATCTTGACTGACACCTTGGGAGAGAAATTGAAGCAAAAGACTCAGCTAAATTTCGTTCGCATTCTGCAAGCACAGAAACCGTGAGAGAAAGACTATATTTTCTTTTAAGTTGCTCTGATTTGGGGAAATTTGTTGTATAGAAAATGATAACTTCTACAAAATGAGTAGAGTTCAAATGTTTCAAGTATTCCAGACTGGTTTACATAGACTTAACTACTATATTTAACAGGATTTCCATCATCTCAAAAAATGTTTTTCTTCATATTTTCTTTAATTTATTCCTTTTTCTTTTTTATGAGTACTGATTATCTGCTTGAGATCACTGATATCCAGTCTTCTCAAATAATCATGTTCTTTCTCACTTTTGTTTACCTATTTTTTGGGGGGTATTTTTGATGAGTTCCTTAATTTTAGCTCCAAAGTTTTTGATTTTATGTTCAATACGGTCAATGCTCCTTTTGTACTCATTTTAAGGCATTTTATAATGTTCCTCATCGTTGCTTAGTAACATTCTCTTCTCACATTAGTTTTATAAAGGCCTGCCAATTAACTTTTTTCCTTTTGTTTCCACAACTTTACTTCTAAAATGAAATTCGCAAAGCAAAATTGGTCTAAACTTTATTAGTGTGCCTCAAAGTAACTATTTTTCAAAAATTGTATCTTCCTCAGCCATTTGAGTACTATGCTCCTGATCACTCAGCAACACAAGTACTTCCAGGTGGCTCACCTTTGTGTTTTAAAAGTTTTATTTTAACCTGTAAAATATTCTCACATTTTATATATTTGATGATATATTCTATCCCTTGAGCTAAAGAACTTTGGTCCACTAGCATTCTGAGTGTAACATAGGAAGAGGTGGGTTCATAAGTAAATCTTGCATATTCTTCTCTGCCCAGATTATTTTTTTCTTCGTAGGCTACTGGTAGATCTGTCTACCGGGGCCAGACAAGGAGTGGCATAGATCTATTGGTGATGCTGAGATCCACCTCATCAGGAAAGCTCCTGACTCGTTAAAGGGAAAGACTCAAACAATATAATTTGCAACCATCTTGGCACATTTGCTCTTGAATTTCTCTAGTCTTTTCTGCTGCTTCCAGAAAAAGACCTTTATTTGGTAATGACCACTTTAGACATTGCTTAACAATTAGCCTGGGATGTTTGCTATGCTGCTCAATTAATACCATGACTCTTATTACTAAGCTAAGTAAGCGAGAATGTCATGGACACTAAATCTCTAAGCAGAGGAAAATGATGGTATGTAATTTATAAAGGCATCTCCTTGTTAAAATTGAACTCTTTTCTCTCATACTTAGTATTGAAGCTTATATTTTATTTTAAAAATAATATTTTATATGCCTTAGCCCGGTAGATCAGTTGGTTAGAATATCACCTCAATATGCTATGGGCTGTGGTTGCAGGTTTAACCCCTGGTCAGGGCACATACAAGAATCAATCAATTAATGCATAAAGAAGTGGAACAACAAATTGATGTTTCTGTGTGTTTGTGTGTTTGTGTGTGTGTGTGTGTGTGTGTGTGTCTTTCTCTTCCTCTCTATTGAAAATCAAGTTTTAAAAAGTTAAAAAAAGAATATATTGTGGTAAGAGCACAACATGGGATCTACCCTATTAATAGATTTTAAGTGTACAATACAATATTGACATAGATAGGCACAATGTGTACAACAGATCTCTGATCTTGTTCATCTTGAATAAATAAAATGTTATACCCTTTGAGTAACAAATCCCCATTTCCCCTTCCTAATCCCTGGCAACTACATTCTAAGCATTGCTTCCACAAGTTTAACTATTTTGATATCACATATAAATGAAGTCATGCAATATTTGTTCTTCTGTGATTGGCTTAGTTCATTTAGCATAATGCCCTTCAGGTTCACCTAGGTTGTTGACATGTTTCATTTCCTTTTTAAGGCTGAATAATATTCCATTGTATGTATATACCATAGTATTTAAATCCACTGATCCATTGATGGGCATTTGCATTGTTTCTACATTTCTGCTCTTGTGAATCAATAAACATGGGATTGAAAGTAACTCTTCAAGATTCTGATTTCAATTTACCCACCCTCACAAACTCTTGTTTTTACTGATCAATTTAATAACAGCCATCCTAACAAGTGGGAGGTAATATTTCATTGTGCTTTTAATTTGAATTTCCCAGATGATTAGTGAATTTAAACACCTTTTTGTATACCTGTTAGCCATTTGTATGTCTTCTTTGGGAAAATGACATTTAGGTGCTTTGCTCACTTTTAAATCTGGTTATTTGTGGATTTTAAAAAAATCCCAAATAATAAAACCCTAATATGCAAATCGACCGAACAGCAGAACAACCGGTTGCTATGACATGATGTGCACTGACCACTAGGGGGCAGACGCTCAATGCAGGAGCTGCCCCCGGTGGTCAGTGAACTCCCACAGGGGGAGAACTGCTCAGCCAGAAGCCAGGCTCACAGCTGAAGGGCACAGTGGCGGTGGCGGGAGCCTCTCCCACCTCCACTGCAGGTGG